AAGAGTAAAAGGTTTTCAATAATTCAGAGATGTTCCTTACAAGGGCCAAATGGCCGAAATATATAAGGAGGGGAGAGGAGGGAAAACACACAATATAATGAATGCAAATACAAGGAACCTTCCTACATCCCTTTATCATTCACTAGCTTCCAATCTTGAGTTGATAAGGGCTGATTTTGTTTGACTTTGTCTTGGCTTTAGAGCTGGCTTTGTCTGTCCTGTTGTGGAGGCAAAAATCACAAAGAACGAATGAAATCCTTTGATGATTTTGGTGGAGTCATCGAGGGGTACATCATACTCCCCTTCTTCGAAGAAAGTTTGTCCTCAAACTTTCGCACCACCGTGACTGATTGGGGTTTCATAAAAGAATTCCCGGATCAAATGGGAAACTTGAGAAACCACCAATGATGAGGTTCTTTCCGGAATAAGTTGGCACCTCTTTTTGTACTGTCCGGAAAAATGTAATCATTGTTCGTAGAACCTCCTTCACATAATCTTCAATGATTGGATGAGATTCTTTGTCACTAATTAGATGATAATATTCTGAGGAAACAACTTCCTTAAAACATATATCACCTAGTGTGGCATCCTCCACGACATCCTGTTCAAAGAAGCTTTCACAACTTAAGAGAGAATCAATAAGGATTGAATCTTCTTGCGCCTTAGAAGTTGGTTCTTCTATGAAGACATCATCTTCATCTTTGACATGGTTATCAAAGACATCTTCATCATGTTGATTCTCATATGCTGCTACGATCCTTACATGCTCTTCATAAGGAATGGCTTCTTTATTTGTGCACCTCCAATAGTGATGGCCATAGCCACAGCACATATAGCACCGTTTAATAGGTCCTTGAAGTATCACCTCATTTGCATAAATAATCTCAAGATTTTTGAAGTATCTTTGGATATCCATATCTCGTTGGAGACAAAAGAAGCAAGCTAGACAGCATTTGGGCAGGACTGCATTGTCAACTTTGGAAGGGCGTATCTCACGAACCGTAACTCGGAATTGAGTGAAATCAGCGGCCAGATGAAGATAAAAGGATAAACTTCCAAACTGGAAAGTTTCACTTTGAAATCAGTTTTGCGCCTTCCTCCGTGATCACTGCTTTGGGGCTGAAATGTTCAGGAGAAATTTTCAGCAGCCTTGTTTTGTGCAACGTGGGTGAAGCTGGTCCTCCGGTAATCGTCGAGACTTGAGAAAGTCGTCAAAGTTGAGCTTTGATACCAAATGTTAGGGGTGAACCGGGGGTCTTATCAAGTTGTTATTTTTGGAGATGGAACTGTGGAATAATGAAGGGGAAATGGGCTGGATGAAAATATGGGAATGTGAAGGAGTTCTTTTTGGGTTTTGATGTTATGAAGAAGAGTGGAAAATCAGGGATGAAGGATGGGTTTAGAAAGGATGGGATAAATTCCAAATAAGGAATAAGAGATAAACACACTCTTATCTTAATTTGGAGCCAAATTAATACTAAAGGATAAGCTCACCTCTAGACTAACTTGGGGTTAAACTCTAGTATTTAATCAAGATATTACACACTCAATCAAATAACTAGAACCTAAAACTCACACTTAAGATGACCACTCTTAAGATATAGAATTAGGAATTTGGCTAAAATAGCATCACACTATTTTATGAATACTCAAAGAGTAAAAGGTTTTCAATAATTCAGAGATGTTCCTTACAAGGGCCAAATGGCCGAAATATATAAGGAGGGGAGAGGAGGGAAAACACACAATATAATGAATGCAAATACAAGGAACCTTCCTACATCCCTTTATCATTCACTAGCTTCTAATCTTGAGTTGATAAGGGCTGATTTTGTTTGACTTTGTCTTGGCTTTGGAGCTGGCTTTGTCTGTCCTGTTGTGGAGGCAAAAATCACAAAGAATGAATGAAATCTTTTGATGATTTTGGTGGAGTCATCCAGGGGTACATCAACTGTAATGCCCCAAAAATAGGCCTATCAGAATTAATTAATTGATAATTAATTAATTACTGAGAAGGACCTAAAAATA